TCAGTTCTCACCATCGGTGAAGTGGCGATGATAAAATCTGTCTCCTGAGGCCATGGGTGGGCTAAATGAGATGGTGTAAAATTCAGTGCCTAGTGCAGTCTCTCGGACAGTGTGAGTCTTTAGGGGGAGGACGGGATGGGTTGGAGCCTGTGAGTGGAGCCGGGGCTTCTGCAGCCACTCTCGCTGCAGTCACACTGGCGTTCTAACCCAAAGTTCACTCAGACAGATGAGTAGATAATGCGCTGCCTATTTGCTATTCAGGATTTTCAAAGAAAAACTTACACTAACTACTGTTATCATGTTCTCTCAAACCTAAATCCCCATGTTGATCAGATGTAGTAAGTTTTCCTTACGTTTTCAGAACTGGTTTCCACAAAGGAACATTCCATCTCCTACGGCTGCAGTTTAAAGACCAACTCTGTGGCCACCACAGATGCCAGATGGGCACAGGAAGATGACCAGTCCTACAGAGCAGTCAGCAGAGGGCGCAGGGGCCCTGCCAGGTCCCCCACGCCAGGCCTCTGCCTCCGGACAAGGGGTGCATGCCCACCATTAGACTCTCCAGGGGAGGGGGCGGAGATGCAGGGGCGGACCGGCATTGCGTTAGGTGCTGGCAGGTTTCATGCCACACCCCGAGAAGAAAAGAGGAAACCTGTTCTGAACCCAAGGGAGGGGAAGGGCATTTGCCCCCCTTTCAGGTTGCCCCGGGCGCTGGGAGTCTGCTCTTCAGGCGTCCAGACTAAATGAGCACGGAATGGAGTCGTGCCTGCAGCTCTCAGGGGGCCATGAGACCCTTAGAACTATCCAGGTTGACTCTGGAGGGAAAGGAGCCTCCGTCTCCACGTTTTTTGGTTTTCCTTCCTTTTTCTAATGGGACATGGGCTTCATGTGCCATTGAAAGTGAGAAAATCTCTGAACCCACAAGAAGTTCAAGCTTGATGATGAGTCTGTGTCCTGTCCGCATGTCGCAGGGACTGTATAAAGTGACTCTGCTCCCCTGAGGGGAGGGGTACCGGCTCCAGTATGATGGGAGGGGTGGCCCAGGGCTCTTCTTGTCCTAAACCCGTGGTCAGCAAACTGCGGCTCGCGAGCCACATGCGGCTCTTTGCCCCCTTGAGTGTGGCTCTTCCTAAGCCTTAGGAGTACCCTAATTAAGTTAATAACAATGTACCTACCTATATAGTTTAAGTTTAAAAAATTTGGCTCTCAAAAGAAATTTCAATCGTTGTACTGTTGATATTTGGCTCTGTTGACTGATGAGTTTGCCGACCACTGTCCTAAACCAAAAGCCATTTCCTGTCCTCTGGGTCCCACCACAGCCTGTGAGTGCTGAGAAGCAAGATGGCCCACGCTGGTCACGTCTCCCTGGACACAGCAGACCTCACTCCCAGCCAGCCCCTGCGTAGGGTCTGGTGAAATCCTCCATCTCCTCCAGACCGAACCCTCCCACAGGGCTGCAGCAGCCCCGGGGATGAAGGCACGCCACCCCTTTCTGGTCGAAGCATCTTTTAAATGAAGCATCTTTTAAATGAACCCACACAGTCTTCTCATCTGGGGGGGTGGGCAGCTTTCAGGAACAATCTTAAGAAACCGAAAATGATATTTGTCATCTCGGAGGGGCATCGTTTAGAAGGAGCTTGTGGGGAGGCAGCGCCGCTGGTGGTCTCCGGGGGGGATGAGAACACGTGCCGCCTGCAGCCGCTCTGCCCGCTGGGCCCTCCCCCACCACGTGCAGCCACAGAGAACGTGATGGAGGACACACGCGAGAGGGCTGGCGCTTTCTGCGAGTTGAAAATATTTTCCTGGCCATCTCTTATTGGGGAAAAATGATAAATTCTGTGATAGAGAAAAAAAGGGTCATTCTAGTGATTACCTTCATCCTCTGTAATGATGATGAATCGACAATTTGGCATTTTTAGAGGCAGTTGACACAGGCCCTTTCAGGGGGGAAAAAAAAGAAAAAAGGCAACCGGTTTTCAACCGGGCCCTGTCAGCCTGAAGACGGATGAGCTGTGGCTGATTAGGGCCATGAATAGATGCTGAGAACTCGGGTGCGTGAGGAGCCAGGGGTGAGACTTATAAATCAAGGCTGAGGTAGGCGTAGAAAATTCTAAGCCATTCCTTCTGCTCGGAAGGTAGGCATGAAGTAGGTTCCCTCTGGGTAAAGGAACATTTAATATCACTCTGTGAGGTGAACTTAGGAGCTTTATACTTTTCTTTACTCGCTGTTGAAAAAAGCAATTTAAAAATTCTACTTACCGTGAGAAGTTCTGATATTTAGGGTTAAAAGGAGAGGAGGAAATTCTCCTTCAAAGAATATTCTATTGGTCCTTTTATGTCAGAACTAGAGTCCTGGTGTACGACATTCATACACTGGGGGAGGGGGGGAGGGGATTCCTCAGCCCGGCCTGCGCCCTCTCACAGTACGGAACCCCTCGGGGAATGTCTGCCTGCCCCAGAGGCAGGAGAGGCTCCCGCCACCGCCACTGTGCTCACCAGCCGTGAGCCCGGCTTCTGGCTGAGTGGCGCCCCCCCTGTGGGAGAGCACTGACCACCAGGGGGCAGCTCCTGCATTGAGCGTCTGCTCCCTGGTGGTCAGTGCGCATCATAGCAACTGGTTGTTCCGCTGTTTGGTCGATTTGCATATTAGCCTTTTGTTATATAGGATTTTGTTAACAACCCTTGAGAAAGGTTATCAAAACCTCGTTCTGTGTTTTAATTTAGTTTTAAGCAAGAAGCCATTTCCTTCATAAGAAACTAAAACCCCAGAACAGTCCACAGGGAAAGCCCAACCTGAGGGCAGACTCTACTGCAGGAGGCTTTGGGGTCTGGCTCTCAACTGGGAAGTGGCTTTTCTCGCGCTTTCCCACTGACGGTGGGAGGGTCATTCACGTCCAGTGGAGCGCCTTCCTTCCTGTCCAGAGGCTGTGGTCCTTCTCAGAGGACAGTGGGCAGTGCACTGACCCGCCGGGAAGAAAGGACGAAGGACGGACGGCACGGGGGAAGTTAGCTGGGGTCCCAGCAATGCCAGCGCCTGTCCTGAGCCAACCCGCCACCCCAGCCGGGGCTGTGTCTCCAGGCTGCGGGCCGTGGGAAGGAGGTGTGGGGGAGACTGCTGCAGGGAGAAGCCCACACAGCTGCAGGCCTTCAGGCTGGGCCACCCTGATATTTGCATAAATGGGCCTTGGAGAGGCTTCCCCACTGGGACAAAGCAGTGAGCGGGTCACGAGGACAGGACAGGCTTTTCTTCAGAACAGTCCTCGGCTTGGGTAACCTTCCTGCGCGGAGCCCGCAGGTCAGCCCAGCGTCTCTGTAACCCGCAGCATCGGGGTCTACGGCAGGCCCTTCGGATGCAGGCTTGTCTGTGAGCCTGTGTGAGGCCTGGTCTTTCTTGTGTTTTGTTTTAGCCCAGAGGGTGAAGTGCTGCCAGCATTATGTCTGGAATGTTATTTACTTGGTGCATGGCTGTGGCTTTTCTCTGCAGCGCTGCCCATGCCGGAGCCGGGCTCACCGACTGACGGGCCAGGGTGCAGCCGGCGCTGTCAGCTCCTGTCCTCAGTTCTCTCCTTCCCTTCCTTGCTTCCTCCCCCCCTTCCTTCTTTCCTCTCCCCTCCCTTCCTCCTTCCTCCCTTCCTTTTTCCCTATTTTTTTCGGAATCAGTGCTCTGAACTACTATGGGTGCCCCCATGTCCGAGATGCCCCCCCCCCCTGCACTTTTATTATCTGGAGTTTCTGGTGGATTCTGGCAAGAGCCTGGCAGACGCTTTTTCATCTGCGTGTCTGCCCTGTTATTATTTCACATAAAAGCTGTCTGTTTTGGCACCCGACTCCGTGATTTCAGTTGTGCTCTCTGGGCCGAATGGGTGATGTTGTGCAAGAGAAATGCAGGTGGGGTGTTCTCTCCTGGTGGCCGTGGGGGCGGAGGACAGAGCTGAGCAGTCCTGGCTTGTGCGGAGCCCACATGATGGCTCACCCACCCATGGCTTTTGAAGGAAGAAACCGGTGTGGACAGTTTCTTGATTTGGGAGGTTTCACAACTGTTTTTGTTCAGCTGATGGAGGAGAGGGTTGTTAAAGAGCAAACTCTTCATTAATAAGACCGTAAACAAGCTGTGGCTAATGAGGGATGCCGCAGGTGGGAGCACAGGGCTGCTCTGCTGGCCTCCTCTCTCCAGCCTCCCTCCCTCGCATTTCTTGTGTGCAGTTCTAATCGTGGTGTTTTGAGTTTCAAAACAAAGTATGGAAAATGAGATTAGATAAATCTCCCCGGCTGGTGCCAGCCCTGGGGCCGTTTGCACACCTGGTTGGGTTAACTCCTTCCTCTCTCTCTCTCTCTCTCTCTCTCTCTGCATGATTTTTTATGCCAGTGGGTTAACTCCTTCCTCTCTCTCTCTCTCTCTCTGCATGATTTTTTATGCCATGTGAATAAGTAAACATCTAAGATAGGAGATGATACCACTTACAGTCTTTGCCTTACAGAGACTCCACTTTTATCTGCGTGTCTTGGCAAAGTCGCCCATCATGGCACCTGCTAGTTTGTTAACGCGGTAACAGCCCATCTGAAAGGGAAACTTTGGGTTCCCTGCTTCCCAGCTTCCCTGCCCTGCACGACTCCCCAGTCTGCTTGGAAGCCTTGGGGTTTGGCTGCAGGGCCTTCTTTGATCATCTCTTGACAGCACGGGCTGCGCGTTCTCACACCTGCCCTCCTTTCTCGTCCAGGTTCCCCAGTAAACGCTCCCATCGCCTCGTAGTGTCTTCAGTGTGAACCTGGGTGCAGGGTGATAGGTTCCAGGGCGGAGACAACCGCTTGGCACCCACGGCCCCTGAACCGCCGCCAGGAGTGTAAACGGCCACTTTGTGTGTGTCTAAGAGCATCAGAGCTCGGCCCTTCGGTCATGACCGAGCATGCACATGATAACAGCAGGCTCGGGCGGAGGGCCCGCCCGGCAGCCGCCAGGACAGGCTCTAACAAGACTCTGTTTTCTCCCCCATCACCCACAGCCCACACATCGTCTTCCTCTCTCAGAGCACCCTGGCCGGAGGGAGCCACCTCTGTGGGACCCGGCTCTGCCATGAAATTGCTCACGCCTGGTTTGGCCTGGCCATCGGGGCCCGCGACTGGACGGAGGAGTGGCTGAGTGAAGGGTTTGCCACTCACTTGGAAGATGTATTCTGGGCCAAAGCACAGCAGGTAGGTTTAAAGTGACCCCAAACATTTCACTCCCTGGAGTCAAGTTCTATTCACAGTCACTCCTTCATTCAACAGACATGTACTGAGTGCTCACTGCGCCGTTGGCGGCTGGGAGGGGGCTGTATGATGGAGGGGAAGTCCCTGCGCCTGCGGGGACATAGCCAGAGGAGAGAGAGACAGCATCCTCCTCACCACGTCAGGGAGGGAGCACTGCGAAGGAAAGGCAGCTAGGAGAGCAGGGACAGGTGAGCCAAGACCTGCAGGAAAGGCCGTGCGCCGGCTACTCAAGCTCCTCTGTGCTGCGGTTGTGGCGACAGTGACTGTGTTTGGTTCAATAGTGAGATTGAAAGTTAAATCAGACGTCAGAATCTCAGCTGCCTGCTGGCCAGGAAGGAACGAAGCAGTTGGCGTTAAAGATTAGGGGGTGATGGGAACTGTGGCGAACGGGCAGCTGTCCTCAGCCCTAACCACTGTCATGTTGCAGGGAGGGCTCAAGAGAGCCTAGGCGCCTGGTCTTTTTAGAGAAAGTTACAAATTTGGGTTTTTCTGTGAAATTTATTAACTTAAAAAATATGTAAACTGACACACCCAGAGGCCAGACCTGGGCAGCACATTCCCAGTACCACCTCTGCTTTGAAGAACTGGCCGCCAGTTCCAAGGAGGACATGGCAGCGAACCTACTTCCTGCTTCCTTTCTAGTGTCCAATATTTGGTCCCTTTTCTTCCCCTTCCATTTCCACCCCGTACATTTTCTAAGTTCCCACGATTGTGCACACCTGTATGCTTTCGTTCAGATTCCTTCTGCGTGTTGAAATCCATTTGTTTCTCAGGGACGGGCTCAGGGTCACGTTCTCTGGGTGGCCCGGCCTGATGGCTCTCTCTTCTAGGAACGGCGAATGCTCGTATGGGGTGTCCCAAAATTCACGCAAGATTTGAATTTTGCGTGAGCATTAACAACAACAACAAAAGAAGCCTAACTAATTTTACTTGGTTTATTGAATCAGATTCTAATATCTGTTGCCCTTTGATTTCAATCCCTTCAATTTGATAAGCATTACCAAGTACCAATTATGGCCCAGGAGCAGGGACAATGAAGACCAATGAAGACCACGGCTTTGCGTATGTGCCAGCAAAGCCGTGGAGGCCATTGACCCGATGTGCTATTCCATACATAACCCTATACTGTATACTTTATGAATCAATAAAAAATTTACAATTTTTAATTATAAACCTGTGTTTTCTATCAAAATTACTTCTTGCGTGAATTTTGGGGCACCCTATACTAACTCACCTCTCTTTCCCCACTTTCTTCTTCTTCCTCCCTTCCTCACAGCAGACTGCGACCTCGTTCAGAGCAGGGCTGTGTCTTGCTCGACCTTCCACCCCTGTGGCGCTGGCAGTGTGCACGTCTGAGTCCCCTGCCAGAGTCCCAGGAAGAGGGGCCAGCGTGGCAGATGAGGGGAAAGTGGCTGCATTCCGAGTCTGACCAGGCTTGGAATCCCAGCTCTGCTGCTCGCCAGCCTCCCTGAGCCTTAGTTTCCCCATCTGTAGAGTGGGTATGAGAGTGCTTACCCTGCAGGTTGAATAGCATAATGTGTAAATGAGCCCAGCACAGTGCCTGACACATAGTGGGCATTCGGCCAAGGTTAAATAGGTTTCATATAAGTGTGCCTCTACCACCATTCCTTCCCTGGGGTGCTTCCATGCTGAGGCAGTCAGAGTTGTGCTACTCTTGGTAATTGCGGGTATATTTCAGGCATCAGATGAGGATTTCTCTGTCCTTCTGTCTCCGGCATCCCCAGCGAGCACTCCTCCACCGCCCTTCCCCTGTGGGAACTCCTTACTGCCCTGAATGCCTCTCCGCCAACACAGCACAAGCCTGGCCTGGCTGCAACTCTCAGCCGCACCCCTTCCCTGTGCGCCCGGTGCTGATCTGCAGGGAGAATGGAGAGTAGGACACAGCCCTGCTCTGGAAGAGGGCAGAGTCTAGTTGAGGTGATAATAAAAGCACACGGGAAGGAAGAAGAAAATATTTACAAAAGAGAGGTAATCACCACACACTGTGCAGCCCAAAGGTGGGCAGGCCAGGTGAGCAGATCCCGCAGTCCTGTCTCAGGGGGTGACTGCTGTCGTCAGCTCAACAGGAAAGGAGGAGCTGAGGCTGCTCTGTCCCTCCGCTGCCCCTGGCCTGGCGTGAGGGCAGCCCAGCTCATCCCCTTCAGGTGATGCAATAACTCCATCTGGGAAAGCACGACCCCCGAGGCAGAGTGGCCATTCTAGCACCGAGTTTGGAAATATTTCCCGAGCACGTCCATCACTCTGACCCCTTCTGTTGAAGGCTGAGTGAGACAGCTGGTGCTGGTCCCTGACAAGTGCCCATAGCAGGCCTTCCCGGCGGGAGAGGGTGCTCAGGGCAGGGCAGGGTGGGCCACCTCCCGGACTCCCAGGCAGCAGTAGGGTCCCCCGGTGAGGAGCGAGTGAGGTCGCACAGGCAAGCGTGGCAGAGTGGGGGGTGCGCAATCCCTGGGCAAGGAGACAGAAGTCCGCCTTCCGCTCCGAGTGGCATCTGTGGGGACAAGTGGGTTGAGTCGGATGCCAGATTGGACCGCACACCGGTCATCAGCCTGGATAAAGTCTAACTCTCACAGGGGTCTTAAGCAGCCTGCAGCCAGGACAGCACATCACAGACTGGAGGCTGGAACAGACCCGTTTTCTTAGTTTTAGAGGCTGGAAGTCCAAGATCAGGGTGCTGACAGGCCTGACCTCTCTGCCTGGCTGGTGACGGCTACCTTCTCACGGTGCCGTCGGTGCTGCTGTGGAGAGAGCCGTGCTGGTGTCTTTTCCCTTCTCAGAAGGACGCCAGTCCCATGGAACTAGGGCCCCGCCTCCATGGCCTTCTCATCCTTATCTACCTCTTTAACAGCCCCATTTCCAATACAGTCACATGTGGGGTTAGAGTTCCACTTATGAATTTGGGGGGAGGGAACATAACTCAGTTCATAACAACAGGACATACAAAGTCTGTAGGTCAAGCATGTCAAACTCAAAGGCTAACATGGGCCAAATAACCAAGGTTTAAGTTAATGTGGGCCGTAAAAAACCAAAAGCTTCCATTTTCATAGAAACGTAGGTTTATTTTGATAGAGACATGCTGACTACAGCTGATTGCAGGTGCTGAAATAAATGAGTCATCGTTAACATAAAATAATAGGCCAAATAACGGTTTAAGTTAATGTGGGCCGTAAAAAACCAAAAGCTTCCATTTTCATAGAAACGTAGGTTTATTTTGATAGAGACATGCTGCTGACAGCTGATTGCAGGTGCTGAAATAAATGAGTCATCGTTAACATAAAATAATAGAACATTTTAATAAAAATTAATATTTTTTCTTGAACATTAACTTACCAGACACTGAATAACTGCACAAATTAATAAGCATAATGCAAACAAACCTATTTTTCTTGTTCTCCAAAAGCAAAATATTTCCTGTTGCACACACCAAATAAGTCAGTCCAAGACGAATGACATGGCAATTGGCTGCTAGAATATTCACTGCTAGTATTAGTGGAGAGAAGTGGTGCGCCTGTGCATAAGGCGTGTAAGGGAAATGAATGCAACACGATTATAGTGATCAGTCATTAGCGAACGTTGTAGTTCGTTATTAATGATTATGTATAACAGGATATTGTAACAAGTTAGGCAAATGGAAAGGAAAAGAAAGCTGGGGTAGCAATACTTATATCGGACAAAATACATCTCAAAGTGAAGGCCATAACCAGAGATAAGGAAGGCCACTTCATAATACTAAAGGGATCAATACAACAAGAAGATATAACCCTGGTAAACATATATGCACCCAATGCAGGAGCACCCAAATACATAAAAAAACTCCTGGAAGATATCAAAGGAGAGATCGACAACAATACAATCATAGTAGGGGACTTTAATACACCACTGACACCACTGGATAAGCCCGCTAGACAAACAATCAGCAAAGAAACAGCAATCCTAAATGACTCACTAGATCAGATGGACTTAATTGACATCTTCAGAACACTTCACCCCAAAGCCATGGAATATACATTCCTCTCAGGTGCTCATGGGACATATTCAAAAATAGACCACATATTGGGTCACAAGCAAAGTCTCCACAAATTCAAGAAGATTGAAATCATAAAAAGCTTCTTCTCAGACCACGATGGCATAATGTTAGAAATAAACTACAATAAAAACAACCCAAAATACTCAAACACTTGGAAGCTGAATAGCATGTTATTAAATATTGATTGGGTTACCAATGACATCAAAGAAGAAATTAAAAACATCCTGGAAACTAATGACAATGAAAACACAACAATCCAAAACCTATGGGACACAATGAAAGCAGTCCTGAGAGGGAAGTTTATAGCTCTACAGGCCTATCTCAAAAAACAAGAAAAAATGGTAGTAAATCATCTAACTCTTCAACTCAAAGAATTAGAAAGAGAGCAACAAGAAAACCCCAGAGTGAGCAGAAGGAAGGAGATAATAAAGATTAGAGCAGAAATAAATGACATAGAGACCAAAAAAACAATACAGAAAATCAATGAAACCAAGAGCTGGTTCTTTGAAAGGATAAACAAGATCGACAAACCTCTAGCCAGGCTCACCAAGAAGCAAAGAGAGAGGACCCAAATAAACCAAATCAGAAACGATAGAGGCGAAATAACAACAGACCCCACAGAAATACAAATGATTGTTAAACAATACTATGGACAGCTCTACTCCAACAAACTAGACAACCTGGAGGAAATGGACAAATTCCTAGGAAAATACAACATTCCAAAACTCAATCAGGAAGAATCTAAAAATCTCAATAGGCCAATAACTATGGAAGAAATTGAAGCAGTCATCAAAAAGCTCCCAGCAAACAAAAGCCCAGGACCAGATGGCTTCTCAGGGGAGTTTTACCAAACTTTCAAGGAAGAACTAAAACCTATCCTCCTCAGACTACTACAAAAAATTCAGGAGGAAGGAACACTTCCAAGCTCATTCTATGAAGCCAGCATCACCCTAATACCAAAACCAGGTAAAGACAACACAATGAAAGAGAATTACAGGCCAATATCCCTCATGAACATAGATGCCAAAATCCTCAACAAAATCTTAGCAAATCGGATCCAACAGTACATCAGAAGGATCATACACCATGACCAAGTAGGATTTATCCCAGGAATGCAAGGATGGTACAACATCCGTAAATCAATAAACGTAATACATCACATAAACAAATTGAAAGAAAAAAACCACATGGTCATATCAATTGATGCAGAAAAAGCATTCGACAAAATCCAACACCCATTTTTGATAAAAACTCTCAGCAAGGTGGGAATAGAAGGATCATACCTCAACATAATAAAAGCCATATATGACAAACCCACAGCCAACATCATACTCAATGGACAAAAACTAACACCATTTCCCCTAAGAACAGGAACAAGACAGGGATGCCCACTCTCGCCACTCCTCTTCAACATAGTCCTGGAAGTATTAGCCATTGCAATTAGACAAGAAGAAGAAATAAAAGGCATCCAAATTGGAAAAGAGGAAGTAAAACTGTCCTTATTTGCAGACGACATGATATTATACATACAAAACCCTAGAGACTCCATCAAAAAACTACTAGACTTAATACATGAATTTGGCAATGTAGCAGGATACAAAATTAACCCCAAGAAATCTGAGGCATTTCTATACACCAATAGTGAACTTTCAGAAAGAGAGATTATAAAAACAATCCCATTTACCATCGCACCAAAAAAATTAAGCTACCTAGGAATAAACTTAACTAAAGAGGTAAAAGACCTCTACTCAGAAAACTACAGGACGTTGAAAAAAGAGATAGAGGAAGACATAAAGAGATGGAAGAACATACCATGTTCTTGGATTGGTAGAATCAACATCATTAAAATGTCCATACTACCCAAAGCAATCTATAAATTCAACGCACTTCCCATTAAAATACCAATGGCCTACTTCAAAGATCTAGAACGAACTCTCCAAAAATTCATCTGGAATAAAAAAAGACCCCGAATAGCTGCAGCGATCCTGAGAAAGAACAAAGTAGGTGGGATCTCAATGCCAGATATCAAGCTGTATTACAAAGCCACTGTTCTCAAAACTGCCTGGTACTGGCACAAGAACAGACATATAGATCAGTGGAATAGAATAGAGAGTCCAGAAATTAGCCCGAACCAATATGCTCAATTAATATTTGACAAAGGAGGCAAGAACATACAATGGAGCCAAGATAGTCTCTTCAATAAATGGTGTTGGGAAAATTGGACAGATATATGCAAGAAAATGAAACTAGACCACCAACTTACACCATACACAAGAATAAACTCAAAATGGATAAAGGACTTAAATGTACGACAGGAAACCATAAAAATTCTAGAAGAATCCAAAGGCAACAAAATCTCAGACATATGCCAAAGCAATTTCTTCACTGATACAGCTCCTAGGGCAGTTGAAACTAAAGAGAAAATGAACAAATGGGACTACATCAAAATAAAAAGCTTCTGCACAGCAAAAGAAACCATCAACAAAACAACAAGAAAACCCACTGCGTGGGAAAACATATTTGCCAACGTCATATCTGATAAGGGCCTAATCTCCAAAATTTATAGGGAACTCATACAACTTAACAAAAAGAAGATAAACAATCCAATCAAAAAATGGGCAAAGGACCTAAATAGACACCTTTCAAAAGAGGACATTCAGAAAGCCAAGAGACATATGAAAACATGCTCAAAGTCACTAATCATCCGAGAGATGCAAATCAAAACAACAATGAGGTACCATCTCACACCTGTCAGAATGGCTATCATCAACAAATCAACAAACGACAAGTGCTGGAGAGGATGTGGAGAAAAAGGAACACTTGTGCACTGCTGGTGGGAATGCAGACTGGTGCAGCCACTATGGAAGACAGTATGGAGTTTCCTCAAAAAACTGGAAATGGAACTCCCATTTGACCCTGTGATCCCACTTCTAGGAATATATCCCAAGAAACCAGAAACACCAATCAGAAAGGATATATGCACCCATATGTTCATAGCAGCACAATTCACCATAGCTAAGATCTGGAAACAGCCTAAGTGCCCATCAGTAGATGAATGGATTAGAAAACTGTGGTACATCTACACGATGGAATACTATGCTGCTGTAAAAAAGAAGGAACTCTTACAATTTGCAACGGCATGGATGGAGCTGGAGAGCATTATGCTAAGTGAAATAAGCCAGTCAATGAAGGAAAAATACCACATGATCTCACTCATTCATGGATAATAAAGACCATTACAAACTTTTGAACAATAATAGATACAGAGGCAGAGCTGCCTCAAAAAATAAAATAAAATAAATAAATAAATAAAACGTTTCTTACATACCGTTATATTGGCTGGGCCGCAAAAATATTTGTGTGGGCCGCATGCAGCCCGTGGACTGCGAGTTTGACATGCTTGCTGTAGATCATCTGGCCTCTGCTGACTGCTTGGCACCTGCCCTCTCCGATGCAGCCTGCTCCTCGCCTGACCACGTCCCTGCCGTTCCCTAAACACATCAGGCTCTTTCCGGGCCAGCCTTCTCTCTTCCTGACTCCTGCTTTCCCTGGAGACCAGCTCAGGCCCTACCACCCTCAGAGGAAAGCCTCCAACCCCCCTGGTTGGCCAGGAGGCATTTGACTTCTTCCTTCAGGGGGTGTTCTTATTCCACCCCCCCCCCTTTACCCCCTGCACCGGCCAGACTCCATGGGGTAGGGGCTGTGTCCGTGATATCCCCGGGGCCTAGCAGAGACTCTGCAAATGTCTGTTGAATGAACCATTAGAGACCTTTTATTTCCGGAAATGCGTCTAGGTACTGACCGAGTCCCTCCCCAGTGGAGGTTTTGCTGCCTCCCTTAAGGAGGTACAGGAGTGAGAGGCTGACGGGACCAGCAGGGCAGGTGCAGGCCTCCCCCCACTCAGTGCGTCCAGGCCTGCACTGTTCCTGGTTATAAGCAAACAGAACCATCTGGGTTGCATTAGCAGGCTCCACAGTAAACAGCCCTTAACAAAACTGGGGGCTGAGGACCTTCCCCACCCCGTGCAGAGACACAAAGCAGGAAAGGGCTGGATGGCATCCCAGTGGAAATGGCCCCGAGGGAAGCCTGCTCTCTCCAGGGCGGGGTGGGTTCCTGGACCAGGGGTGCCTCCCGAACAGGCAGCGAGACGGGGAACAGCTAGTTCTTCCTCCAGCACCTGAGAGGCCCTGGGCTCCTGACCTGTTCGATGGGGCTCAGGGGCAGCAGGAGGCCTCCTTTGCCACGCTCCCTGAAATAAAGCCGCTGCTGCCCAGGCGGCTCTGAGCTTGCACAAGGACAACAGTGGCGGTGTTTTGTGCACGTGTGTTTGTGTCTGTGGCTTAAGCAGCTGGCCCCCCACGAGGCCCAGGAGCAGCAGGAGCTGCGGGCAAGCCTGCGCTGGCGGCGCCTCCAGGACGAGTCGCGGAACTCCCCGGAGCAGCTGCAGGTGCTGAGGTAAGCCCCGAGGATCCCTCCGCCTCCCCCCTCCCCCTCCTCTTCCCCTCTCCCCGGCCTCCTTCCCTTCCACACACGTGTAGGCCTTGCATCAAATCTGCTGTGTTTCCTTTTTAATTAAATCGGACCAGGTTAGTCATCCTTCCAGGGATGTGATCCCCCGGGATGTGATTGTTATGCTTCAAGTCTTTCAGGGTGTGGATTTGGACTTGCCTTCTGACATTTTCCTGGTGTCTCTATTCAGGAAAAAACTAGCATAAGGCCATTTCCGGGACCAAATTCTTCCTTTGAAGTTCTAATAGTCACTTCACCTGGTGGCTGGGGACTTGGGGAAGGTTGGGTTTGGTAGCCTGGCCGGCAGTAACCCTTTAAAGCCAAAGGGAAAAAACCCTGTAGGAAATTATTGATTCCTAAGTGTTTAGTGGTAGCAGATGTCTGTGTCAATGGGGGCTTTTGTTTGGGATCCGTCCCAGTGGGCGGCCACGCCTGGGAGGGGAGCGCTCTCCCAGCTCCTGCGTTCTGTCTCTAGACTGTTGCGGGCTTGTAGGATTACTTCTTGCCTTTTTGCCATTTTTGTCCCTCTCTGCTTTGCTGGTTTTCTTCACGTCTCTGAATAGTTATTTATCTGAAACCTCCAGCCTAGGCCCCAGGAGCACTGCGTTGCTAAGGCAACGTAAGCTCTCACCCTGCCCACTCTGGGCGGGCGCCAAGCGTTTGGAATCCTCAGTCAGACAGGTGGGAAGGCAGCCACCCAGGAGGCCCCCCCTTGGATGGCAGCCCCCAAGCCCGCGTGTTCTCGCTGATTTTAGGTAAACACCCGACTCCGCAGCGACGACCCATGGAGCCCAAGTGGGAGAGAGCTGTGGAGCCAGCCCGATGCTGGAGGCTGGCGCTTCCCTGCAGGTAGCAGCCTGGGTGGCTGTGAACGCCGTGCTCACAGCTCAGGGCTGCCCTCAGCTCTGACTCCTGCATGGTCAGGAGAGCTGAGCCCACCTGCGCCCCTCGCCTCCATTCACTGGGCTGGTGGGTGGCTCCACCCACATGGACAGGGCCCAGCCCTCAGGAAGCTTCTGCTTAGGGGGACCCTGCCACGTGCACAGCGGGTTGCAGGTGCTGAGAAGTGGGGCGAAGGGAGCCCAGTGATTTCTAGTGAGGGGTTGGTCATGCCTCTGGGGGAGGCTCAAAGGCCTGAGGCAGGAAAGGGCGTGGCATGCTGGTGCAGAGGGCAGAGGGGCAGAGGGAGGTCAGGGAGAGCAGGCAGGAGCGGACCCAGAGCCTTGTCCCAAGGGCCTTGAGCAGGGAAGGCGCCCCGTCCCGTGGGTTACATGCTGCGCTGACTGCTGGGGGGGGGTGCAGGCAGCTGGCGGAAGGAAGGCGCAGGTGGAAGGCTGCTGCAGTCTGCACAGGAGCGCCCGGTGGTGGCGTGGGGTGCGCAGGGAGCAGGCCTGTTTGCACACGTCCTGGCAGGTCTGGGTGAATGGACTGTGCAGAAGAGGACGAGAGTGGCTGGCATGATGTCCAGGCTTTTGCCTGAGTGGCTGGTGGACAATGAGGGATAGCAGGCGCGGCCTCTGAGAGGGGCGGGCTTTGGAGGGAAAGATATAGATTCCAGCTTCACATGCATTCAGGTGGATGCCCAGGTAGCTGTTCAATATTGAGAACTCGGTGGGTCCACAAGTCAGGAGCTCATTGGAGAGATTCCAACCTTTGGCCTACAAAGACTTTAAAATCTGAGCACCTTGAAATCACCAGGGAGAGAGGAAAGTGAGAGAAGAGGTTGGGAGGAAGATTGGGGTCGGGGGCTGGTGGTGGGGGCGGGATAGTGTAGAGAAAACTCAGACACCAGAAGCCAGGAAAGAGTGAAGAAGGCGGGAGTGGGTGTGGGATGCTGCTGAGGCCGTGTGAAAGGGAGGGAGAGACGTGACCTTTGGGTGGGACCACACAGCGATGCTGTGGTCTTGACATGCATGCATTTATTCATGGGTGGGGGAGAGCGGGGCCAGATTGGAGTTGGTAGGAGAGTGAGTGGGTGGTCGGGGAGGGGAGACAGTGCGTGGACTTGGTAGGGAAGCTGTGCTCGGAGGGGAAGCTGTGAAGGTCAGAGAGGCTTGCTGGGGGTGGCTGTGCACCTGAGTAACTGTGCCGACCCTGCCACCTCTCCACTCAGCTTCTTCATTCTCCAAGTGCCCGGGGCCCTCTGATGCCTCGGTTCTGTGTGACCACGTCCTGGGGGGGGCGTGGATTAACGTCAGTTAATGGCATGTGTTTCCAGCTTGCGAACCCTCAGCCCGCGCCCTGGGAGGTCAGCACTGGTGAGGGGGCCTCATCTCATCTCCGTGGTGCTGTGGCCAGCCCAGCTCTGGTGGTCATGAGCTTTGCCTTCGTGTATGGAGCCGGGAGAAAGAATACGCTGTGTGTATCCGTGTACTAGAAGGCTTACGGTGGCATTTATTTTTCTCTGCCTTCATATTCAAAAATTATGTTTGCCTGAATTTAGGCTAAGAGTCCGCCCTTCCATGGACACAGAGAACCTAGAGCAGTGATGGCGAACCTTTTGAGCTCAGCGTGTCAGCATTTTGAAAAACCCTAACTTAACTCTGGTGCCGTGTCACATATAGAAATTTTTTGATATTTGCAACCATAGTAAAACAAAGATGTATATTTTTGATATTTATTTTATATATTTAAATGCCATTTAACAAAGAAAAATCAACCAAAAAAAATGAGTTCGCGTGTCACCTCTGACACGGGCGTCATAGGTTCGCCATCACTGACCTAGAGGTTACTGAAGGGACAGGGGGAACCAGAATTGTAAACATCTGTTCTCAGACTTTGTTTCATTTCACTGTACAAATAAGAGCTGGGTAAAGAAGTCTCTTAAGCAACACAGTGACCAAAGATGCTGTCTTGTTTTTTCATTTAAGATACCGCATGGTCTTGAAATGATGGACCGAGCACAGGGTAGAGGCCTTGGTGTGTGTGTTGACGTGCTCCTCCACGCTGCCAGGTGCTGAGGGAGCTTCTCCCGGCCTCTGCAGCAGCTTCCCCCACCCACCTCCTCCCAACAGCACTTCCTCCCCCTGGCGCCTGTGTCACAGGCTCCTTGGTTTCCTTCCGCCTCACAGCCATTCCTCTCCGGCTCTCGCTGGGGTGGCCCGGGCTCAGAAAGACGGAATGAGGAGCAAAGCCAGTGCAGCTGTCCTTCCCTGGACCATCTCCCTGCCGTTAAGGAACTCGATGTCACTTTCCTTGTGTGGAAATAAGAATAGTCCCTGTATCTTGAACTGAGGGAGGACATGAAGGTCGGCATAAAAAAAAAGTAGCCTTGGACCAAGCATCTTTGTCTTTGTACACATGAGAGTATAGCTATGGGCAGGGGCGTCGGGGGGTGAGGGGAGGCGGGAAGAAAGCAACATTGTGTTGGTTAGATACTGGAGTGTTAGCAAAGTGAGAAGAGAAAAACTAAAATTCTGTTTGGCGCTGACCTGCTAACTTCAGTCATTGATAGGAACTGGTATCCATTCGTGCCTTCCACGTACCCAGTGGTGAGCTGTGGGTCTCGTCAGCTGTGTCCTAGGTCGGCGTGGCGGTGAGCTTCCTTGTTGCAGGAGTTTCGGGTGCTCCCAGCCTTCTCAGCCTGCCTTGGCTGGGGCGCCTGCACTGTGACCGCAGGCTGTGGAGGCGTGGCCATGTGCTCAGACTTTCAAAATGCCAGGGGTCACATTGCTGACTCTGTGCCTTTTCTCCTTCGTTAATTATTAAAGATGCCTTTCCCGTAGGCAAGACCCCAGCGGCTCTCTGCAGACTCTCCCTCACGCTCCTTCAGCCCTGGCGGGGCTGACCTCATCCTGTCCTGCTCTCCCCTGCCTGGCCGCCACCTCTTCACTCCCCCCGTCGTCACCCCCACCCTCAGCCGGGGAGGCATCCTGACTCCACCAGGGGAGATCGGGAAGTGGGGGCTTCCTGTGGAGGCTGGCCATGTGCTCAGACTTTCAAAATGCCAGGGGTCACATTGCTGACTCTGTGCCTTTTTCTCCTTCGTTAATTATTAAAGATGCCTTTCCCGTAGGCAAGACCCCAGCGGCTCTCTGCAGACTCTCCCTCACGCTCCTTCAGCCCTGGCGGGGCTGACCTCATCCTGTCCTGCTCTCCCCTGCCTGGCCGCCACCTCTTCACTCCCTCCGTCGTCACCCCCACCCTCAGCCGGGGAGGCATCCTGACTGCGCCAGGGGAGATCGGGAAGTGGGGGCTTCTAAAGGCTCCGAGGCCTGGCCGCCTGTCCCCAGGGCCCAGCTGGACGCCGGCCTCTCTGAGTGCTGTCAGTCGGAGCTCTGACCGGCTGGTGGATGGAAGAGCTATAGTGTGGGGTCAGAAGAAATCTCTGTTGGTTTTTATTGTGATTTATTATCACGCCCCCTTTTTTCTGGATTCATTGTTAAAGTCAAGCTGTGCTGAGAAAAACGTTAAAATAGATCACGTTGAGGAGGCGATCGATGACCAGCCCCCAGTCTGATGCAGCTCCTCCAGCTGCTGCCACCACCGACCCTGAAGTCCTAGGGAAAGGAGGCGTCCGCCCTCCCGCACGAGTGCCTCAGCCCTGCCCACCAAGGTGCCCCGTATAGCAGGAGCCCTGAGTGTGTCGCTCTGTTATGACCAAAATGAAGCGTGCACCCCGAGCTCTGTGGCTCGCACATGCCTGAGCACTGTTCCGTGACGCTGGGCACTGGGATCCTGTGGGCGGCCCTGCCGGGGGCCAGTGGGTTGGAACATTTCTATCCCTCTCCCTTCCTCTGTCTCTAAATAAGTAAAAACATGTCCTCAGGGGAGGATTTTTTAAAAAGTCCATGTGTGAACCTTCTCTAATATGCATGAAGTTTTCACCTCTAAAGTTTTTCTCAAAATTTTTATGTGTAATGCTTCAAGCACATGGCAGTCTTTTCCCACCCAGGCGTGGGACCACGTCCATCGCGGCCCTCAGGCCTGCCTCAGGGAGGAGCTCC